GGACGCAGCTTTGGCGGAGACCAGTGCGAACGTTGAATGGTTTCGACTTAACGCCATTAACTCTGACACAGCACCTGCTTACAGAATACAGTGATTGGATGGCCCTTAGCAACTTGCCATCAATTACGTATGCAAAGGTTTTAAATTCAAGTTCAAAATTCGGAAAATTTCTTTATGTCATTAGGTGAGAAAACTTGCGTTCGCGGACATCGAAGATCAATCTTTTTACGTCACATATTGATTTTAGAGTTTACAACCAATTTTTGTTAATAGAAATTTATAAATGCTACTATATCGTTAACTTTATATACTTCTGGCAAAAGTAAATCAACACCTATGTTTCTTTGTCCGTTTCTGTGTAGTTCGTTATAATCAATCTTTAGATTTGCCGTAAGCAGCTTTCTACTTAATGTCTACAGTAGGGTCTTTATGCGACAAATGCTATTCCATATTTCAATCTGTCGCGTATGCCCGCTGGTTTTGTTGTATTACGTGATCTTCAGGCCTATAATTTAAAGTAAAGTCGTGTGTCGTGTTGTGTTCCTTGGATTTTCTAGACAGAGGTATGTCTTATTTTGTCTTTTTCAAAATGTTTTTTTAGTCATTTTTTGAACTTGCCTTCAGTTTGTTCTTTTGGTATCCTCAGTCTAATACTTCAAGTTACCAGAACTTAAGAGAAAGATTTGTCTTAAAGGAATTTTTTCTCTTCTTTTTTTAGGATTCTTGCTCAATCTTGATAATAATGATGCTCTTCCTGTTCTTTGTTTTTTGATGTTTTTTTGCTCACGTGGTATGCAGAATTATTACCTATTATAGTGAGAGATAATTTTGGTGTATATTTTGTTTTGTGACAATGTTTCGTTGGTGATGCCATGGATGTTTGGTAGTCGCTGCTCGCGGTTCTAAACAACTGTTTGTTTGCGGGCTTCTTGTGTAAACAGCTGTTAGTGTCGCTGATTGTTTTTTTACAGTCCTCTTAGTCAGGTATTGTTTTTCAGCATGTGATGCTGAACGGTCGTCTTTCGTTAATGCGACGTTGCATGGAATACCGTGCTGACATCACATCGCCGGACTCGCCGTCGGTGGCCCGCACGGTGACCCGTAGCAAAGCTCGATCTCGCCTGCGGTTTGACAGTGGTGCCTACTCTTCGTCTACTGAATACGTAGGTGTTGTTAACATCGTGTTCTGCTGCTCGGAGTCGCACTGAAGAATGCCATACTTTAGTCAGATTCGCCGGATTCCGACTGTTATCGGGATAATGATGCCGAAGTTTTCGCTAGCAGTGTTGGGGGAAGCAACAATACCGCGGATTCTGACCTCATCCATGCATTCGCCGGGAGGTGGATCGTGTCAGACGATTTCATGTCGCCATTGAGGCAGGTTGACAGGCGGCGACCTTCGTCATCGCCGTGGTCCTTATTGTCCTAAAGTGTATTGTCGTTGTAGGCGGTCCGACGACAGTGGCCTGAATGATTGCAGTGTTATTGATGGAAGCAGTTCACCTGATCGCTTTAAGGCGGGTTCTTCGTTTTCGTTTGTCCCCGTATCAGAAGAAGTGTGCTCTTCGGTCATGAAGTTGGAGAATCCAGAGGGAGCTTTGGGTATAGTCTTTCGTGATAGTCATTCATGTGCCGTCACTGACCAAAACTGTTGTAGAATTGGTGTTCGATGGATCTGCGATTGCATCGCTGGGTCAAACTGGTCTGATTCCCATTGGATCTCCACAGACTGCAGCACTGGTCCGCAGGAGGATCCCTAAACTTGGTCAAAAGTCCTCCGTTTCCGATTTCAGCATCAGCTACAAAAGTGAAATGGGTGTCTGTGGAAACTTTCTCATGGAGTCCGACGAGAACCTATCCCCAGCTGCGTCGTCATCGGCGTCGACTCTGCCTCCGCAAACACCGCCCGCCTTGCACCATATGATGGACACCAATCAGCTGACTCCAGTAAAGTTCTTCGGCTCACAGACTCCGTCGAAAGTACTACCGTTTTCGCCGACTCAGGTAAACCACGTTATTGTTTTCCATTAGCGCAACTGCTTAAATATTTTTTGCATTTGTTTTTCTCAGATATATTCTTCGGTCAACGCCTTCATTTTTGGGAAGGGGGGGGGGCAGTGACGCAGTTAGTTTCATTTTTATTTTAGAGGTGCCGGATTCAAAACCCCACTCGCGGAGTAAATTTTCTCTTGTTAACTTTTTATTCCCGTGAGCAAGGAACTGTGCTTTGGAGCAACCAGCGGAAAAACATGTTGCACGCAGTTGAAGGCGAATAGTACGCAAAACATGATGTTTTGGTATGGCTCTGTCAGAACATACGGCACATTTGTGCTTTACGGCTGCAATTGGCCTTCGCACACATAACAGTATCTTTCAGCACAACGTGTAAACGTAAATTAAAAAATTAAACGGAATGAAGACCGTCATCAATGTAGGGAAAAACACTGTTGTTTGTATTTTAGACTTTGCGGGGGGCATCGCCAAGAATGAAAAAATCAATGCATTTCATTTTCTGAACCTTACGCTATTGATGACTTTATGTTGGCTGTTAATCTGTGTTCGAAATCCTTGCAGACACTGCGTCTGGTCTAAAAAATGGATTTGCCTCTAACGAAGAGTGTTTGTTGAAATTTTCATCGCTTTCTACCAGTGTTTCCTTGAATGTCCGTTTAGAGGTTTCAGCTGTCCTTCAAGAATTTATCATTGTGAAAGTTGGTTCTATAACATCAACAAATACCAAATATTATGCTGCATGTAGAGGGTTGCATAATTTACTAGATTTTTGTTTTTGACCATCCAAGCTGCGAAGAATGTTGCTTTCTCCTTTTTTTGTTTGTATTGTTTTCTTTTTATATTGTTTGTCCGGATCATTCCTATATTCTATCCTGAATCGTCTTCATTACAGATAAGCAACTTTGATAAAAGATTTTTCTATTCTTCATCATCATCTTCCATTCCGCTTCTCCTTTCGGATCGTAGAGGCAAACTCGTCAGACAGTGCTTCCAACGTTCCCGATCCTGTGGCACGGTCTGAACTTCGGCAGAATACAACTGGAGTCTGTAGCAGACTCCTTCCATATATTTGCACCATTTTAATCTTGGCCGTCCCCTTGGTTTTCTGCTGGTCGGTTGGGCAAGAAAGAGTTGCTTAACCTTCCTTTCTGGAGGCATTCCCAACAAATGACTAAGCCATCGCAGCTGTGACTTCTCAGTCTGGAGAAGCAGAGACTGTGCACCAAGGCTCTTCCGGATATCAGTATTCCGGACCATCTCGAGACGCGTAACGCCAGCGACTCGTATAAGAAAGCCCGTTTCAGCCGCTTGTGCCCGGGCATGAAGCTCCTCAGTCATGGTCTACGACTCATGACCATGCATGAGCAAAGGAATGAAGATCGACTTGAATGCCGATTGTTTACTCTTCATACTCAGTTCTGCTTTAGTCACAAGACTTCTCTGTTCTTTCATAATCAATGTTGTAGCTGCTCCCTAATTTTTCCCACAACGCTGCAAAAGCCCACTTTCTTATTCCTTGTCCTATTTTTTAATAATTTTTCTACTTTAGCTCAAAAATGGTGCTACAGTCCTGCTACTGGTGGCGTGTTGAAATCGTAGTTAAAAGTTCGTCTTCGATCCCCTAGTGTTTCGGGTTCGATTCCGGTGAAAGTGCCGTCTTTGCCTTAACCGCGAATTCTTCTGAGTAAGGAATACCAGCGTTGTATTCTGGCCTGATTGTACCATAATTTACGAGTTATACAGTCATCCTTTCTGATGCGAACGTTTCTTGTAGTTGCGCTTCTTTATGATCCACCTGATAGCTGACTATCCACCTGTTCGGCAACCTGATACATTTATTGAGGCTGAGGAATTCAATTTTGCACTTCTCTGATGGTAGAACATTGCCCCATCTCCTTTCAGTGACCACACACATGACCTACTCACATAGTTGTTATTTGTTGTTCATTTGAATTGGAATGAATCTTTTGAATCTTCTTTTTGTTAATAGGAAAGCCCTCTTAACAAGCATAATCGTTTTGCTGTGCTTGTTCTTTTCTTTTCCATTCTTGTAATATTGTGCTCCCTCTATCTTGTATCGAAGGTTCAAATTCCCAGTATGACTTAGGATCGTTAACAACTGAATTAGAATTGAAGAATGGTTTTTTTAATTGATAGTTTTATAATTACATAATAATGGGTCATTTCTCAAGATGTGTAGCTATAAATGGTCGGTAGTATGAAGAGCGAAGACTAAAATTTTTGCAGAACTATGCAAATATAAAAAAATACGTTTCAGCCAATGTTTGCGCATTGAAAATATTATTCTATCTTTAACTGCGTAATTTGTTGCTTTGATTTGCTTCACCAGTGGGCTTGCCTTATGAATATCGCAGTTTTATTCGTGAAATAAAAGGACCAGAGGCGTGATGATACACGTTGCCCAACATGTCCCATATGCAGAGTGGACTCAGCCGAGCACGATATGGTGTGTTATTAAATGGTATTTCTCTCTGGCAAGCAATTCTCCTTACCGTAGCATTGGCATTCATTCAAAAATTTTGTTATTCACTTTCATCGTCTGGCTAAAACTGACTAGCCATTGTTAATCAAGCTGGTTAGTGTAACTTTCGGCTGTCAGGTAACGACTTAACGCTTAGTAAGTCATAAAATAACGACTAACACTGAGCTTAGTGTGGTTTCATGGCATCTGACGTGGCCCCCTCTTGTCTCCAGTTATTTACTAGTCTGCGCATTTCACCCTTATTGAACACCGTTTGGTGTAATGTTTATAATATAGTTCTGTCGTTGTCCAGGGTCTAATGATTATTCCATCAGATATGTATAGAATTCTGTTATGCTCCAGCTTAGTAATAGTGTGGCATGCTTATATAAAGAAGATAACAAAGGATAAAACAATCTCAGCCATGCATCGTTAAGCCGAAGAATTGTTGCTTCTGTCAGTGGCAGCATAAAATTAATCTGTAATAGGCGGACCTGCTAAAAAATATGTAGCATGCAGCAAACTTACTAGTCTCCTTAGTGCAGTTTTATTCGACCATTTTTTGTCTGTCGTCAGAGCAGCAGTAATCGACAGAGAACAGTCAGCTGAGGTTTGTCGGTTAGTTTTAAAAAGTAAATTTTATACTTTTTCTCCGTTTGTTGCATGCTAGTAGTATAACAGACCTATGTTATATCTTGCTTATGATTTTTATATATCAAATTCGTAGTGCTGTATCATCCTTTTTTACAATGTGCTCGATGCGACGTTACATTAAAAGTGAAAATCTGGCATTTGAACCGGATGAGCAAAAAATTTTGCCCTTCAGGATAAATGAAAAACTGTCATATTCTGTACCAATTGAAAATAATAAAACTAAACTGAGACAAATAAAACTTGTATCAGAACGTCAGAATCGCCCTGACAGTCGTACTACATGCGAACTAGACTTTCTTCAGTGTTCAAGTTCCTTTGAATATTTATGAACGTAACAACATCAGGGGTTATATTTTTCGCTGATCATCACATTGAATAGACAGCTGTCTGATGTGTCAACACGATATGCACCATTATGAGGCGCTTGCATCATACAACATGGTCGTACACCGCGTCTATGACGACACCATGATTTTCTTGCTTTTTTTAAGTCAATTTTTTCTGCCCTTTTTTGGCAGTTTGCGCTAAAGTAACGTGAGGAGAATTTCCTGTTTAATTGAATTAGTGGTCAAGACGAATTTTTTAAAGGTTCGAGTCTAGCACCCCCGAATTTCGATTCTCACCTCTTTGCCGTTTTCCCTGCTCTTAAGTTAATTTCGAGAAATGAGCTATCAGAACGTGTAGAACATAGGCTTAAAAATGACAGTTAAATTGGTTAAAAATAAATGTAAATTTTTATAGAAAAAGATTTGCATAATGGCTAGTTGCTTTATTGCTTTTATTTCCAGCTGTTTATTAGAAGCGTTCATTAATCCCTATAATATGTATGGTCTCGTATCGAACCACTGTAGCTTTATAGCAAAGAGGTCAATAACCTGATGGAAAATCAAGAAATCCTTTGTATGTTTTCTTGCCTTATGTTCTCCCGTGTTGAAAAAGAATATAGAAGCGTAAGAGGGAACGATGAACGGGAAAGTTCAAGTTACCATGCAACTCCACATATTCTTCATCTGTTGATGCCGCAGTAGACATCAGAGCCCCACTCAGCAGTGGACTCATCCGTAAACTTTAAAGCGATTTATTTTATCTACATATGTTCTTCTTGACACTCGTGCAGTTCATGGCTTTCCTGACCGAACAACGGTGACAGCCCTCAAACTGTTTTTAATCGAAATTGGTGCTTTAACCTGACGTGACAACAAAGCCGAAGTAGCGAGTAAAGTGACAGCCTTTGGCCTTGTGGAGCCACATGCCGTTCCACTTCACCCTTATCGCAGCAGAAGCAGTAGTTAGGGGGATTAGCATTAGAAATAAATGGCCTGTTGGTCATTGTCATGTCAAATTCATGTCATGGCATCGGTCGCATGAAGGTCTTTCGCAAATACTCCAGAATTAGCATCTGTTTCTTTTGTTGGCCAGTCATAAAATGCAATATGATTTTCGTTTTCTTGTTCAGACGACAAATTTTGCTTTGTATACGAGATCATAAGTAATTTAAACAAAATTCCAGTAACTTTCGATTGTACTTGATTAAAAGTGATCTGCTTCGAATTTTAAACATTTCTGAAGATTATACTGTCTTTATATTTACTTTCGGTTTTGTAGTTTTATATATATCTGCTTAATAGACAATTTTGGCAAGCTATAACTACATGGTGTTTGAGCACTGCAGTTCATGGAGCATATATTATTTACGTACTTTAATATTTCATCTTGAATTTCATTTTATTTGCTAAAAACAACGCTTTGCTCGTCATCCATGTTATTTCAGGAGTTGCTTATCTTTACTTGCCGTACCTGCAGTGTAAAAATAGATTCAATCATATTAATTACCTTTAAGTTTGGAGCATTGACTCAACAGATAATGGGTTGCCTTGCACGTTAGCATAGAGGTTCGCACCAAATTTGTGGCGTACATTTTTTTCTTATCTGCTAAATTTCATGTGCAATGAGTTCACTCCATTGCGCTTCGGTATAACCAGCCAAAAACTCGATGATCGATCGTTGACTTAATAATAATGACTGAATAATGACGAGAGCGACGTACTTTAGTTTGGTCTTGCCATGGCATGCGAGTCATACGGCAGTTCTGTCTAACGTATGCTCCTTACGGCTACAATTCGCCTTGACCCCCTTATAGCTGACTAAAAGTCAGCAGAATTTGTAAACGACGTTTTTAAAAATGATTTGTCGAAGTACGCTTAAGTTTACATGATGTGATTTTTCTGGTATTTTATGTTTTAAGGGTTAGCTGCGGCCTTTTCATGTTTGAAGCATTTTTAATGTTTGTCAGTTAAACGTACTAGACTTTCGCAAAGTTTGTTATTCCTTCTTCTGCAATCGTTTTCAGATATTACTGGCTTGCAAGTTTGGTCATAACCTAGTCTCCGTAACTTTTTGGAAATCGGACAGGTGAACCGTTTTGCAACTTCTCATGTGGCACATTTCCAATGGCTGTTCTTCATGGGACTAATCCACTGCATGCTAC